ATTGCACGCTCCGGGGCCTCCGGACTCTGGAGATCAGTGGGCCACTTCCAGGGCCTCCAGAAACCTCCTGGGGCTCTCCTGAAACTCCCACAGGTCCCCACCAGAGCTTTGGAGGGTAACCTGGGAGGGCCCAAAGGGGCGCCAAGGGAGCTCCCAGGCAGGCTCCACAGCCCCAACACTTGAACACACACGCACACACACACACACACACACGCACGCACGCACACACACACACACATTGCACTCGCCGCCGTCCTTGACGAGGAAGCGGTTTGTGTTAAATTCGTAATAATAATAATAATAACAATAATAAGAATAAGAATATTAATATTAATAATAATAAAAAATAATAATAATAATAATATTAATAATAATAATAAAAATAATAATAATAATAATAATACTAATAATGATAATAATACTGAGGCCCTCGTAAAGCCAACTCGCAGCTCTCTTGGGGCGTTTTGGGCGCCCCTGGGACCGTCTTGGGGTTCTCTTGGGCCGTCATGGGGCCCTCTTGGGCCGTCTGGGGGAGGTCTTGGGGGCCTGTTGAGACGTCGTGGAGCACCAGAAGCTCGAAAAGTAGAGTTCTGCGAAAACGCAGGAAAACTGATGTAGACTCATTGGTTTTGCCTCTGGCGGCCATCTGAGGAGCGCTGATGTAAACCCCTCAGTCCTTCTGGGGGCATCTCGGGGCATCTGCGGGCCGCGCGCCCGCAGACGCCCCCCAGTCGGATATTGCTAAAAGTGCCCCTGGCCGAAGGCGCCCGCAGGATTTCCAAGGGAGGCCCCCCGGCCTCCAGAGCGCCCCTCACGAGGCCCCGAGGGCGCCAGGGGGTCCAAAATTGAGCGAAAAACTGGGGGCAGTCTGCGCCAGGGGCCCCTTGAGCAATCGCAGACCCAAACATGCTCGCGTCGTGACAAAATCAGGGCGGGAGGCGTGTGTGGCCGTCTTCGGCCCAAGGGGGCCCTCGCCGTGCCCCCGGACGCTCCAAGAACGGCACGGGGCGAAACGCCGGCCCTGGGGAGAGGGTCGGGATTTCCAGGGGCACTGGATTGAAAATCGTCCAGACGCATCACGTTTGGGCGTTGTGGCCCGGTTTTTCAAGGGCTGGGACCTTGGCATATCGATCCGGCCCGAAAAATGGCGGAAGCAAATCGGGTAAGGGGCTACGGCTGCAATTCTTCGAGATGTGGTTGATGGGGTCGGACGATGGCGCCGCATCGCCAATGCATCTCAGATGCATCGGCGATGCGTCGGCGACGTCGGCGATGCATCGGCGCCGTCGGCGGTGACAACATCGGGATCCACGTCGAGAGGCATCGGCAATGCTTCGGTGGCGCGGCGCGATCCTCCGACCCCATCTATTCTTGTTTGGCCCAGGACCCACATCTCACGACCTTGTGATCTGGGCGTCGCATGTGTTTCACACTGTGCGTTTTCGCCCAGCCTCGGGGCTCGGGACCATCACGGATCGATCCGGCTGAAGAAGAAATGGTACAGAAAGATGGGGTCTGAGGCTCCAGTCGCGATTTCTCGTGAATTTGCAATTTGGTCGCAACGTCGGATTCCAAGGTTCTTGTGTATTTTTTCTTTCCCAGGCAGCGGTCGTTTACCCAGGGGGGGGGGTCGGACGAGAAAGTAAGGGCAACGGCGGCCGCAGCGCACACCCGTCAGGGTGCGTCCGCGCCACCGGCACATCAATCGCCTGTGCACCCCCAGCATGTGGGAGGGGGGTCGAGGCCACCTCCCCTCAGTGGCGGGGCCCCCGCAAGACCCAGACCCGCGCGGCGGCTGACATGGACCATGACCAAGGTCGGCATCAAAAAATATCGCGACATCTTGGCCATGGTTTCCGTGTTTCTTGCCTCGTCTTTGGGGCCTACCTGGGAGGCTCAGAGCTTGCGAGTTCGGACCGAGGCGCTGCCCTCTGGAAGGTCACTCTGGGGCCTCGCAGGGGGCCCGGGAACATGAATGCTGCCTCCAGCGGCAAGGAGGAGGAGGAGGAGGAGGAAGAGAGGGAGGAGGAGGTCGAGGAGGAGGAGGAGGAGGAGGAGGAAGAGAGGGAGGAGGAGGAGGAGGAGGAGGAGGAGGCGCAGGAAGAAGGCGGGCTGAGACAGGACAGAGAATCACGACATCGAGGGGGTCATGAGGGGGAAGCAAAAGGCGGGAGACGAGAAGTGATAACGTAGCCCTATTCAGCTGCTGTTCCTGCCTCCCTTCTTCCCTTGGTTCTCCCTTTCTGTTCCTCCTGACTCTCTGCTATCGTCATTCCCTGACTCCTACCTTCGGCTTTTCGTGGTCCATTGGTTTTGTCTCTCCTTCTCCTTCCCGAGCGCCCTGCCCCCCCGCGGATCTGGGCCATCCCGGGCCATCCCTGGCACCACTGTCCCAGGCCTGCAAGAAACTCTCAGGAGGGCTTCAAGACGGCTCGGGACGCCCTCGAGAGAACCGACGAGGGCCACAAAGCTTCCAACGACGATCCCCGATGGACCTGGACGTCAAAACCACGGAGAGGCCCACAAAAGCCACCGCGACAGGCTCAAACAGGGCTTCCAAGGAGGCCCCACAGGGGTGCCAAGGGAACTCCCACAGCGCCCCCCGAGCCCCAAACGATTACCAGACATTTAACACAACACCGTCCTTGACGAGGAAGCGGTTTGCGTTAAATTCAGTATCAAATCAGGGGCCCTCTTGGGGCCATCTCAGAGCTCTCTTGGGGTATCTGAGACACGTCTACGGTCGTCTATGGGTTTTCTTGGGCCGCCTTGTGGCCCTCGTGGGGCCCTCTCGAGCTGTCTCGGGGCAGTCTTAGGGGCCTCTTGAGACGTCGTGGAGCGCTGGAAGCTCGAAAAGTCGAGACCTTCGAACAAAAACAAAAAAACAAGGAAAATCATTGTTTGTTGCCTCTTGCGGTCATCTGGGGAGTGCCCATCGAGGGCCCAGGGCTCGACCAAAACAATGTTTTTCGTCTCCTTGTTGTCTTCGTTGTCCTCCGTTATTGTCTCCAATCCGTCTCTGCTGCAAAACGGGATCGAAACGAACACGGCCCACGACATCGCCAACACACCGCTTAGTGCACGGTTTCCCCCGGGCCCGTAGGCGACCCGAGGAGGAGGAGGAGGATGATGATGATGAGGAGGAGGAGGAGGAGGAGGGGGAGGGGAAGGAGGAGATGGAGGAGAAGATTGAGGAGGAGGAGGAGGAGGAAGAGATGGAGGAGGAGGAGGAGGACGGGTCGCCTAAGCCCTTCGGAGAAACCCTCCACCGCTCGGGTCGCCCCCCTGTTCTGGCCCTCCTGGCGACTGCGACCGCGCGGGCCACACGCACGCACGCGTCGAACACATTCCACCGGCATCGCGCGCCAGCCAACTCGGTCAACGAACACCGTGCGGGCCACGCGTTCGCGTCTCCCCGCGTGCGCGCGTCGAAATCCTTCCAGGACCACTTGAGCGACGTCAAAAACGGATCTTACGCGAGATGACATAGCGACCTTACGCGGTCGCTTACGCGGGCCCCCTTTGAGAAGAGGGCGCTTACGCGCGACCGTACGCGGGCAGCTTACGCGCCAATGTCAGCGCAGACGACCCCTTTTTTTCCGTCGCTCACTTGTGCGCTTAGGCGTGTCATCGCAGAGGTGCTCAAACGCATGTGACGGCACAACTCCTCGTCAATCGCATTCCGATCTGGAATTCTGATATGTGCTGTGCGCGCGTGATTCCAAGCGATCCTCATCAACACCATCCTCGTCCTCCCCATCATCTTCATCAACATTACTATCGTTCTCGTCATCATCCCCACCATCGTCATCAAGAACATCGTCATCGTCGTTGGCGTCGCCCGCGTCGTCAGCGCTACCATCATCATCAGCACCCGGCCGCACGAATCATGGATCTGCATGAAACGGGCCATCGCGTCATTATGCCGGTTCAATGTTGCCATAATGTTGGTGGGTGGGTGGGATGATGTTTGCTCGAGCACTGGAGTTGACGACGAGCACTGGAGTTTGCGACTTCACATTGTTCTCCATGAAGTGTACCCACATAAATGGACCCAACTGCAACACCCCATCACCTGCAACCCCCGTTAATGCAACCCGCGGGTTGCAACACAAATGTCGGCGCTAATACGATACGGCTTTCCTGGACTTGATCGGGGAATTCGACTACCTGTTCCTGCATGTTGAGACTGAGATTGAGCAGGGACCGACCCTCCCGGCATTTCTACAGTCCTACCACGACATGTTCTTAGAACCCAAAAATGTTCTAAGAACAAAGCACTGTTCTCAGAACTTAAGCCTTCTGTGTTAAACCAAGACAGCCTCAGCCGGAAATGTTCGAAGAACATTTCGTGGAAACCACAAAAGGCTCTTAGAACATTGCTTTGCAGGCCTATAGGTACGCCAGGACGCGTCGCCACTGCTTGAATGGGCGACGACTCGTTTCTTGAAGATGGCGCCGCAGGGAGACCGGCTGGCTCCAGAGACGGAGAGCGTGTGACACTCCCAGTGAGCCACTCTGTGGGAACAGATATTATCGCCACGGCTCGGACGTCCGCCCCTCGTGCATGTTTCGGTTTCGTGCGTGCATTCGTGCCAGATGATCCAGGATGCTCGCCGAGAAGAAATACACACACGCACACGAGCGACACGCTGCTAGGGGGTGCTCCTCTATCGATAACGCATGCGGGGGGGGGGCAAGACGCGAAAGGGTCGGCGAATGGGGCGTCAGCCCGGCTGATTGACCGACCGCCGCTGCGGACGCGTGACAGGGCCTGCGACGAAGTGAGTGAGGCCGTGGGCTCTGCCGTCGCATGCTGGACAAATCGTGCAAAAAGAGAAGAGGGTAGGAGAGAGAGAAGGAGAAAGAGAGAGAGAGAGAGAAAAAGAGAGAGAGAGAGAGAGAGAACAAAAAAAATAAGAAGAGAGGGCACGAGAGAAAAGGAGAGATATAGAGAAAGGAAAAATGGAAGAGGGTATCACTCAGCTGTGATTTTGCACATGGATGACGTCGGCAGGGAGTGGAGGGAGGGTGCTTATAATTGAGCCGCTCAGGTGCAGCTGCGTGGCTGCGGCCGCCACGAGGGCAATCTGTACGTACTGAAATAACGCTTCGCGCCCCCTGGCTGGGGTCGGCATGCGCCTCCGGCCGCCTCTCACGGGGACGAACCAACAAAGAGTACAGGAGCAGCGGCCCCGACCTGTGAGCCCAATACACAGCGTCGGGAGCGACTCGCTCAACGAAATGCGCTTCCCTGCTCAGGTCGGTGCTGATCCCTCACCGAAGCTGAAAAGGGTGCGAGCTCTCCACACAGCGCCCGGGAGGGCCACAACAAAACCTTGAGGGGGAGCGTAGGGAGGGGAACGGGCTCGGGGGGGGGGGGAGTCGACCCGGAATCGGCGGTACGTCGCCGAGAGGTCGGCGATGAGATCGGCGATGGGCCCTCGACAGCGAAACCGCAGGCTCCCGGGCGGGGGGGGGGCTATCGGGCCCCTTCTCGGCGATTCAAGGGCGACGGGGGGTCGACGCGTTCTCCCCCCCCCCTGAGCGTATCCCCGCCGAGCGCTGTCCCTGACGACTTCTCTCCCCACTGGGGTCTGGCGCCGCCGCAAGGCGGCGGCCCTCGGGCTCATGCTCGGCGGCGCGCCGAGAAGGGAAGTGAGAGAGAGCAGGCCTGCTGCTCCTCCTCCTCCCGCCTCCTCCCGCCTCCTCCTCCCGCCTCCTCCCGCCTCCTCCCGCCTCCTCCCGCCTCCTCCTCCTCCTCCTCCTCCTCCTCCTCCTCCTCCTCCTCCTCCTCCTCCTCCTGATGCTCGTGACGAGGCTCTTCCCTGTAGTTCGCTTCAGGATGCGGATCGAACATTGCAGGTCATGTCCGCCAACAAGGCGCAGGGCATTGATGCAGTGGGGCCGCACGATGTTCAGCGCCTTCCCGAGACTGAACGTCGGCAGCTTGTGGCCATCCTCAATCGTGTGGAGCAAGGAGGGTTCTGGCCTTCGACCGTCTCAGCCACTTTGGTGGCCGCCATCCCCAAGGACGCCGGAGGTCACCCCATGCTGGGCCTTCAGCCGAATACCTTCAAGATATGGAGCCGAGCCAGAAACGCACGCCTTCGGCAGAGTGGTGTTAAACGGAAGGTGCCTTGTGGGACACGGCTACTGCGGGCAGTTCGGCGCGCAGGGCTGCTCTGTCCAGGGCTTCATTTGACAAATGCGCTGCTGAGCTGCGCCTGGACTACGCCACATTGTTTCTCGACCTGGCCGAATTTTACGACTATATGAAAATATATGAGTTTCGTGCTCCTGATGCAGGCCAGGAGGAGCATGGGATTTCCTGTCATTGCCACGTTGTTGGAAATCAACATGTATGCCTCGCCTCGGTTGATCAAGAAAGGACGCATGGTCAGCTCAGCTTTGGACCCTGGGAAATCAAGTGTTGCAAGATCCCCTCGCGGGGTCGACATAGCCAAAGATGCCATTCATGGGCTGTTAGAAGCGGCGCGTCACTCAGCACCCAGGGCAGGGCTTTGGACCTTTTATTGATGATGCTGCATGCCGAACCGAGGGTGTCAGGGCCACCGCTATTGGCGACATGAGAGCCGCTGCTAGTTCTCTGGCCAAGTCCTTTCAGGATGCGCTGCTGACGGTCTCCAACAAGACGAGGCGTCTGGCCAGCTCCGCTGGGATTGGCTCTGGGCTACTCCCGCACTTGCGCGACCTCGGCATCCCAGTCAAACTCGCTCGTGCTGCAGTGGAATTGGGAGTCGATGCGGCAGGCGCCAGGACCAGGCGTCGCGGGAGGCTTCGGAGGAGAATTGTCACTGCAGGTCGGCGAGTGACCAAGATACAAAAGCTCAGGAAGCTCCACGGCAGTCACAAGGTTGCCCGAGGGTTATGGTGCGCGGGTGCGTTTCCAACTTCCACCTGCGGGCATCAAGTGCGTGGATCGCCTCGATCTACCATCCTCTCTCTTCGGCGGCAAACTGCAAGGGCCATTGCAGGGCGCCGGCCGGGGCGTTGCCTCCGCGCCGTGTCGCAAGCGACTTTGAGCGAGTCGGACCCCGCTGTCCAGCTCAGGAGGTCGCTGGTTACGGAGCGGATCCGCATGTGGATTGCCCGGCCAGCCATGCGCAAGCGCGTCGCGCAAGTCTGGCCGCGGGTCCGCACCAGGCTTCTGGCCGCGCGCGCCCAAGCTGGCCGGGACCCGCGGCGCGCCAACTGCCGGCGCCGCCGCTGCCCAGGGGGCGCTGAAGATTGGGATTGCCTCGCCTTTGGCGACCTGAATTTCAAGGGCGCGGCGATGGGCGATTTTGAGAAGCTCCCGTCAGCGTTCGGCGAGGATTGCGCGAAGCAGGGGTAGGGGCGCGCTGCTCAGCGCCCTCGTGGCGATGCGCTTGCACATGGAGCTGACCTGTCCAGCTTCAGGCTGAGCCGAACGCCTTCTCGAAGAAAAGCCACGTGGACATCTGGGGCGCGACCCTCGCAGTGGCGACAGGCAGGTGGGCAGTGGCCTCAGGCTAGCAAGGTGGGGGCCAACTGCGATGTCGAACCCGCTTGTCCGAGATGCGGACAGGGCCACGAGGCCCCGCGACGTCGCATCTGGCAGTGCAGAATGAATAATGATCATGAGGTCTATGCCAGCACGGATTGCTTGATTCCTTCAGCCCCGGCGGGCGCCGATGCCGACCGCCCCCTGCGGCTCCGAAGGGGCCCCTGCGAGTCACCTCGCGGGGCCCCGTTTTGTGGGCGGCCATGGTTTTGCTGACCCCGTCCGTTTGGCGACTGGACCTCTCCTAGACCTCATCCTCCTGGCGGTAGGCCTCTGCGCCTCCTCGGGGGTGGATCTGGGGGCAATGTGCGGCTGACCGGCGCAGGAGGCGATGCGGCTCGGCTGCCCTGGCCATGGCTCATGCCGAGCCAAGGAACCCCCTAACCTCCGAATGGCTCCCCACCTGTGGCGTTGCTGCTCCGCTCCCAGGTAACATCCAGTCAGTGCCGAGAGCGGAGCTCACGGCCCTCGCTTTGTCACTGGAACACACTGTCGACCCACTTGCGAACGTTTGCGATTGGAGGTCCGCGGTTAACATGTGGCTCGCAGGAGACCACCTGGACACCAAAGAGCCCAGCTCGGACCTGCGGTTTTCAGGGCCCGCCTTGCTGCCCCAGGGGGGGGGCCCGGGGCCGTCGAGGCCGTTTGGGCGCCGCCTCGCCGGGAAGGAGCCTGCCGCGATGTCGCATCCGTTTCAGAGCCCCCTGTCCCGCGGCGATGCTGCTGCTGACGCTTGGGCGGGGTGGGCGGCGGAGCGGGGGCGGGCTCGTTCTGTCACTGTCGCGCGCCCCGTGTTCCCTATGTTCCCTCAGCTCTCGCGAGGGGGCCAGGAGGGCCACGATCGACGCGGCCGACTCAGGGCTTGCCAGCGCCCCCACCCTTCAGGGGGCTCGCTGCAAGAGGACCTCCAAGTTGGCCAAAGCTCTGCAGCGGAGCCCGCGCAATCTCATTCGCGCAGAGCGCGGCCATTGTCCCTGCCAGCATTGTCGTGGGCTGGTCAGCGGCAGAAGCGCCCTCGCTGTCGCTCCGACACAGTCTCGTGCGGAGCCGACTGAAGGCGTCGCCTCGGCTGGTTCCGCCCCTGACTCCTCGTCGGTCCCTCGGCGGCCTTGCTCCCCCCGCCGCCCCTGGCCGACTTTCTGGCGAAGGCTTCGCGGGGCTGGCGGGCGCCGCCAACGTTGGAGACAAGCCGCTCCGCGGGAGTCACGCGTTGCACGAGCGGTCCAACCGCGGCCTGAAGTTTCGCTGCGTTTCCGGGGCCACCTGCGCCATGGGCGCCAGACGCTTGCAGCGCGAGCGCCGTGGGCCCTCGCGTAAACGTCTAGAGGACCTCGGGGGGGTGGAGAGGGGGCTGTTCCCCTCGCGCCGTGGACCACTGGCGGCGATCCTGGGCGCCCAGAGCGTCGCGGCTGCAGGGCGCGCGCCGTCTTGGGGCCCCGCAGGCTGTCGCCCCAGCCGTTGCATCAGATGAATACTTGCGTTATCACACGCTGCCTGAAGTTGGAGCGCCCAGAGGAGCTCGGGAGGCCTGCGAGCCCCACTTGCGTTCGGGGAGCGGCTCTGATTTGATGGGGGGGGGGGGGGGGGAAACGGGGGGCTGGAGAGGGCGGGGGCGATGGGGGCGCCGATTGCCCCTCCTGCAGCCGCCCCCCCCGCGCCCGCCCCCCCCCCCCCCGCCTCCGCCCCTGGGCGCAGGGCCGCAGGCGGTTCCTCCTCCTTCCCCTCCTCTCCCCCCCCTCCTCCTCCTCCGACTAGCTCGTCGCGGTGCCGGGGGGCCCCCCGACTCTGCCTGCTTCTTCGTTTCGCTTTCTGTCGGCTGAACAGGCAAACCCGCCAGCTGTTTGCATTTATTTGCGCGGCGACTGTCTGCATTTAGCTGCGAGCCGCGCGCCGACGCTGCCGCGCGAAGATGGGCCGTCGGGTCCGCCTGCTTGCCCCGCATCTGGAGTGGCCGCTTTCGTCGGCGCAGGCGCCTCACGACCCATTCGTCGAGCGACGCGCGAGGAAGGGTGCACGTGGGGAGTCGTGAACGCCCCCGCCACTATGGCTCCTGCGAGTCGGCCGGGGGGCGCAGACCCCGTCTTCTCGGCCATGGATGGGGACCTCTCCGAAACAAACTGAGTTGCTTAGGCTCGGCTTCTCAACGAGGCAATATGACTGCAACTGCCGGGGCGCAGCGCTGCCAGAGGCGCGCGACCCGCGGCGATTGCAGAACCGGGCAGGGCAGTTATGAGGCGCCGCGCGCGTCCAAACGCGATCCCGCTGGCGCTTCAATATAATGCGTTTCTGCGCTGAGGGGGCGCGAGCTCCGCGGGCGCCCGGGGCCTTGGAGGGGGAAAATTTGCGGCGAATGCACCTCCGACAAAACCGCCCCACTTAAGGCCATGGCCGCGGATCTGGCCTGAAGGGCGAGGGGCGCGGGGGGCTCGATCCAGCGCGCCGCGCAGCTCGCGGGCGCGCGCGCGGCGGCGCAGCCATCGCCGAGATCGCAGCCAAAAGATTGCCCCTCAAAGTGGTCGCATATTCGAAATCGCCGGGGAAGTAGAAAGCAGACGCACCCTTGTCGGCAAGTTTGTCGGCCCAAGAGTTCCC